CTGGGGGCCGGTGCCCAGTTGGCCTCGTCGTGGGTCTGGAAGGCATGGCTGTCGACCTGGGATGGGGGGTCGAGGGCTCTGACTCCCCGCCAGGCCAGCTCCCCTTCTCTCGGCCTGGTCTTGTCCTGCCCCCAGCCCATCCCCCGCCCCTGGTGCCTGTCCTCGCCTGTCCTCCCCTCGCTCTCCAGCCCCCCTGTGCAGTCTCTGCTCTCGCACTTGGCCCGTCCTGCTGAGGGCCTCACCAGAGGAGCTTTGCGGGAGCAGCACCCGAGCTGGTGGCAGTAGTGCTTGTGGACCAGGACCGTGAGCCCAGTGATGGCCAGCAGCAGCAGCGCACCCAGCACCCCGCCCAGGACCGCCATGTCCACCACTGAGAAGCGCCGGTCCTGGGCGAGGCCTTCTGCCGGCATCCCTGCCAGAGACACCATCGCCCACTTGCCACTAGAACACGCCAAGCATTTCCCATGCTGACCTACGCCGGGCTTGGGACACCCTGAGGACAGGCCAGGCCTGAGCCATCTTCTGAGCCAAGGTTCTGGGGAGCGGGCACTACAGAGCTGTGTGTCCAGCAAGAGCCCGTGGGACCCCTGGGGAGGCCAGGCTGGTGAAGGCAGGGAGAGGAACAGGCCAGTGCTGCCAACACCAGGCGGGACGTGCAATGGGAGGGCACAAGGGCACTGGGAACCAGTGGGGTGAATGGCCCTGGGAATTGTGGGGTTTGCGGGATCCCACATCTGGCCTCTTTCCTGCCCCCACACACCTGGAACTGTCTCGGTCTGATCAGAACAGCCTCCCTCCTTGGGATTTCACGGTCAGCATGGCCAGGCCAGGTCAGCCCGAGGCAGACCCTGTCCTGTACAGCATTTCCCCAGACCACCCGGCGTCCTGAGTCAGCAAGCGCTCCAGGAAAAGGGGTGGGGTGCTACCTGAGGGTGGGGGGCTCCTGCTGGAACCAGGGAGCGTCGGCTGAGAGGTTCCTGGCTTCTGCGTCTGTGCTGAGCCCCCACCTGGTGTGGCTGGTGGAGGGGAGGTGCTGGTTCCTGAACTGGGGGGCCCCCCAGGGGTGGGTGACACAGGTGTCCTCAAAGTTGTGCCTGAGGGTGGGTGAGGACCAGTGCTCCCGCCAGAGGCAGTCATGGAGGGTCCCTGAGAAGGCCCTGGGGGTCTGGGGGCTTCCGAAATGGTGCTCCTCGTGGGCCCAGTTGCTCCTCCAGCCTCTGGGGATGTGGAGGGCCCTGGGGGCCAGGGACAGCATTGGGCTTGCTTCTGTTCCCAGCCTACCAACCCCATGGAAGGAGCCACCCTGCCCGGGGGGACCCCAAAGGGGCTCATTTGGGGGATCCCCAGAGGCTCACCTGTGGAGGGGACCTCCTTCTCTGAAACTTGTATCTCGACAACTGTGGTTGCTGTGCCCGAGGTCACTGTGTTCTTGGCCTCAACCTGCAGGCAAGGAAGGGAGCTCGTCCCTCCTAGGCCCCTCTTTAAGCCCCCACTCTCAGGGACCCCTGCCCCGCCCTTCACCTCTGCATAGAAGACTTCTGCTCTTGTCAGGGTCGTGGTGGTCAGCATGGTCTCCCCGTTCATCCAGAAGTATGAGTGGTTGGTGACTTGATACATGATGGCAGAGTTGAGGTCCTAGACATGGCCACAGTGAGCCCTGGGCAAGGGCTGCCTTCAGCGTCCATCCCAAACCCAAGCAGACCCAGGGACCAGTGGTGTCACGTACCGGGAACTCTGGGTCCTGAGCCTGGATCCTCAGAGGCTGAGAGGGGTCATCTGCGTCCTTGACTGCCACGCCTGCTCCAGAGCCAAGCACCACGGTGCCGTGGTACAGGCTCTGGGGGAAGTGGGGCAGGCTCCCGTTGGCAGCGCGGGCCTCCACTGTCACTTGAGTAACCGAATAGCGGGCAAAGTCGGCCTGCTCGCCCTGGGGGGTGGCGGAAGCAGCAGTGACCAGCGGGTGCTTGAAGGTCAGGCTGGTGCTACGGCTGTGAGCTTGGGAAGGGTCAGTGAGGACCTGGCCAAGGGACCCCTGCCCGGCCACCCTGTGTTGACACCCACCTTCACCACCAGAAGGAAGGTCATGGGGCTGGGGACACTACTTTTCATGGTGAGATTGCCTGAGTCTGCACCGATGACAAATGTGTTGTTCACGTTTCCTGGGAGGATGGGTGGGAGTTTCAGCCCCTGGTCCCCTCCTGCTGAGGCCCAAGCTCCCAGCTGGCTCTGCCCATGTGGCAGGTCCCCCTGGGGCTTCCTCAACGCAAGGTGAGGCTCGGGGTGAGGTCTAGTGTGTGGGGCCGAGGGCTGGTCCTCAGTCACCTGTTAAAATGCTGTAGAGGATGCGCTGATTGATGCCTCGGTCTCCATCCACAGCGTAGACGGGCCCAGGGCGCAGGATGAGGGGCTGCAGCTGCGGGGACAGTGGAGCAGAAGGGACATGGTGCGGCTGGTGCATCTGCCCTAGCTTAGACTTGAGCCTGACCCTGGGTGGCCTTTGCCTAGAAGAGCCTGCTCCCCGCGCACTGCCCTCCCTTCCCCATTACCAGTTGCTGTCCCGTGGGCACAGCCCCGTGGTACTGGGCTTCGATGCAGACGTGATCATCCGAGTAGGAGCAGGGCAGGAACCAAGGGGGCCGCAGGTCGGCGGGCAGCACCTCCAGGAGCACGGTGGCCGTGGCCGTGTGGCTGGGTTCTGCGTTCTCCTCCCGGGTGTCCTGGAACAGCCGGCCGCTGCCGGATCAGGCCCGGGGGCAGCGCGGTTGGGGCCTCCCGTTTCCAGGGCTCAGGGCCAGAGTGACCTGCTCACCCGCACCAGCAGCAGGAAGGTCACGCTCGGCCACTTGTAGAAGTCCAGACGCTGGTCCAGCCTCAGGGCGGGGCGGTTTGCACCCACCAGGGAGAAGAAGTCCCTGACGCCCTGGGGAGGGGAGAGCACAGTGTGAGACCCTGGGAGGACAGGGAGGCCTGTGCGGGCCAGTGCGGGGCCAGGGTCGCGGCGGCACTGACCGGGGTCACTTCCTGGAGGGTATAGAACAGGATGTCGTCCTTGTCGCGGTCCTCGGCCTCCAGTTCCTCCTCAGGGATGACGGTAGAGTTCACCTTGGTGTCCTGGGGGCAGAGGAGGATGGGTCACTAGTCCTCTGTCCTCGAGCCCCTCAGCCTGGACTCGCAGTAAATAAGAAAGTTTGTATTAAAAAAAAAAAAGAACAAATCTCCAAGTAAAAAGAGAGAGAAGGGGACCCTGAGGACGAACAGAAACTTGAGAGAGTCATCAGCCGTTTGCGGGCTGTGGACCTGGCTTGGATCCCGATTCGAGCAGCTGGAGCAGACGCCTCTGCGGCCGCGGGCAGAGGCAGCGCTCCGGATGTCACAGGTTGGTGGCAGCTACTGCTTTTCTGGGGTGTGATGTCGGTATGACAGCTACGTCTCAGAAAGAAGGGTCCTTTAGAGGCACGCACTGGGGCATCGTGGGTGTCGTGCTGTGGTGTCGGGGAGGGGGGCTCGGGGTCCAGCCACTCTGCCATGCAGAGAGTGGGATGGGGCGGGCAGGGGCAGGAGGGGAGCAAGAGGATCACTTGGAAGGTTCCAGAGAGGAGAAGCTGGTGGTCGAGGCCCTGGTGGGACATGGAGGTCAGGATCCGGGTCTACCCAAGGCAGAGCCAGCACATTTGCTGAGGGGGGGATGTGGGTCAGGAGCGAGAACCGAGCAGGGCAAGCGATGGGTGAAGACGCCTTCCCTGCGGCGGGGCGTGGGGGAGTGTGGGGCACGCCTGGCATGTTGGAGGGGTCTGTTGGGCAGTTGTCAGTGCGTCTGCAGCTCAGGGCAGAGTCTGGGCTGGAGGGAGTGTGGGCGTCAGCAGCGCAGGGGGGATGCTTAAAAACACACACTGAGTGAGGTCACCCAGGAGTGGCCCCGGACGCGGCACAGTGGAGCACCTGAGGCCCAAGCCCTGGGTGGCCTGACATGGGGGGGGTTGGGGGGTCCCAGGGACGGGCAGGACTCACCAGTGTTTCCCCCCGCTTGCACTCCAGCTCAGCCTGCAGTATCGAGTTCTCCTGGGAGCAGATGGGTGTTGAGAGCCACCTGCCCTGCGGCCACAGCACACTGTCCCATCCACAGGTGTGGGGTTGGAGGCCAGGAGGGGCAGGTGCCTGCCCAGGGTCCCTGTTGTGGGCAGGAGGTCCTGAGGGCATCGGGGCTGGGCGGCTTAATCCCCTAATGGCCCTGCCCCATTGGGGCCAGGCACAGCCTCGTGCTTGGCCCAAGAGGGGTCAGTTGCTGTCTTGGGGGCACAGAGCCCTTAGAGCCTCTGGAGAAATTGTGATCCGAAAATCCCCAGAGAGCCCTTCTCCAGGGAGGGAGTGTGGAAGCCGCACATGTGCAGCAGCGGGCACGCCCCACCCCGACCTGTCTCCCGCACCTCATAATCAGGAATCACGTTGAGAAACAGCTGGTTCCTCAGGATCAGAAATGCAAAGGGTGTGGACGAGGACCCGAGGGTCACCTGATAGCCCTCCGGGGTGGAGATGTTCACCAGGGGCTCGGTGAGATTCGTGTTCTCCTCGACCTCGAAGAAGTTCTCACTCACGGTGCAGGCTGGAAGGCCGGAGGGGAGGGTCGGTGCCTCCCAGCCCCCAGCCACGTCTGCCCCCCACCTGCCCCTGTCCAGCATGTACCCTGGGCCTGAGCCTCCGGGAGTTGACCCAGCAGCCCGATGAGCAGCGGCAGCAGGAGAGGCCACAGAAGGGCCCAAGCCCCCATCTTGGCGGCCATCACCTGGCGGGAGAGTCTGAGCCGGCCTGCGTCCAGGACTGGCGCAGTTCCTGCCTCCGCGACCTTCGCCCCTGCCAGGCACCACCCTGCTTTATGATCCTTTACAACGACTTCCACCAAGGGGGCTCCTGCCGGCCGGCAGGGCCCAGCCCACATCAGGAGCAGGACATAGGGTGGTCATTTGACCCGAGGTGGGCCATGTGCAGGGGTCAACTGGGGGCTCAGCCCCAGACACCAAAACACAAGGTGGAAAGGAGCTTGAGAGGTGCCCTGGTTGTCATGGCCTGGGCTGGATGCTGGGGGGTGGGGGATGCTGGGGCATGGGCAGGGGCTTGGGGGTAGAGGCTGGGGGATTCAGGGCTGGGAAGGGGCCCAGCCCTTGGTTTCTGGGTGTGCCACACCCACCCCCTAATGAGGCTGCTCCTCTGCTGGCTCTTTTTCTGGAATCTCCTTAGGGCAAAGTTCCCAGGGCTACTCCTTGAGTTTCAGACCCCACGTGTTCCCTTCCAAGTCCACCTCTCTCCCTGCACCATCATCTAAGTCCTGCAGGAAAAGGCTCTTTGTGTCCTGGGGACCCCCCCTGCCTGTCCTGGAAGCAAGTTGGCTTCCCTGGGTGGAGCTAGCTGGGCAGCACCGTGGTGAAGGAGACGGCTGTGCGGGCAGCTGGGAGCCCCTGGGGGACCCTGGTGCCTGACAGAAGGGGCTCCTGGTGAGGCTCCTCAGCACAGGCCCCCACTTGCCTTGACCTTTCTTTGGCCCCCCAAACCTCCAGCAGCTGGGGAGAGGCCACTGGGTGGGGTCAGGAGGAAGGAAAGGGGTTGCTGTGATGGGGGAGTGGAGCCCCCTGCCCCCTGGGCCTTTGCACCTGCCACTCCCTGTGCCTGAAACACCTTCCCTAAAGCTCCTGGTCTCTTTTTGGGGACTGCATAACACCGCCTCAATTTCCTGACCCTGCAGTGTGCCCACGTGATCCTGCAAACCCTCTGCACTCGTGGGTGTCATTGCCGTCCCTGCTTCACAGGCTCTGAGTGGTCAAGCCTCTCATCTGAGGCCACACAACCGGGACATATGGGAGCCAAGACCACACCAAGTTCTCCCACTCTGGAGTGGACTCCTGGGTGGCACCCCCCACCTGTCACCTCTTCCTGCCCAGCCTAAGCCTCCTTGTTCCCCCAACAAACACTGACCACATGGCCCCTGGGACAGGAACCGGTCCATCCTGAGCTGCCCGAGCCCCTAAATGTTTGCTAGGTGGACAAGGGGTGGGGCAGGGCTCGGGGGAGCTCGGTCTGGGGGCAGGAGATATGAAGGGGGTGGCCGGGCCTCCCAGTTTAAAGGGCAGCTGGGTGTGGTTACGGTCCTAGAATCGATGGATGAGGCCCTGCTGCCATCTGACAGCCCCGCTGTGCACGACTGCCGCAGTTGTGCTGAGAAGTCGCACACACGGGGCCAGGGTCTGAACACCTCCTTTATTGGTGCTAAGGCCAACCCCTTGCCCTTCTCCCCCCAGCCCCCTCGCTGTCCACTCAGCAGTGGGGAGGGTCCTTCCTCCTCAGGGTCATCGGGCCCCCCGGGATCCTTGGGCAGTGGTGCTGGCTGGATCGGAAACCGTGACCTCAGACCTCGGTCCAGGAGGCAGCGAGATAGACCAGGCCAGGTCCGGAAGGGTCCTCAGGGGCATCCTGCAGAGACCAGCATGTTAGATCCCAGCCCACCTAGCCAAACGGCCTCCTCTGGTCACCCGTGCTGACCCCAGGGCCCCGGTAGGCGGGAGGACGGGTCTGGAGGCGGTCCCGGGCGGGCGATGCTCACCGGGCCCGCCGGATGGGCGCGTCCGACCACAGCAGGCAGAGCCGGTGCTCGGCGCCAGGGACCCAGCCGGTGCCATTCCCCGCGTCCTGTGCGCTGCCCCCGCCCCAGATCAGAGTTAGTCCTGGAGTGGCGGGGGGACGTCGCGGGTGGGGGGCAGCGTGCCGGGCCTGCCCCGCTCCACGGCCGTGTCCCCCGCG